GTTGTTCAGCACAGAAATCTCTAAGACATTACTCATCACCTATGAGAATAACTTTGAAATTTTTCGAAGAATTAGTGGTCACTATATACTACGTGACTTAGCAAAAGAAAACGGTGATTATGAAAAAATCTTGAGCCTGACCAATGTCTGTTTGTCAGAAAATACCAAGAGCAGACAAAAAAGTCAAGACCAGACGAAGATTTACTGTTTGCTGATCAGTAGAAAAAACAGACTATCTTGATCTGGTCTTACCACTTTCTTGTTCGGACCTTGGAGCTCACCAGAACAAGAAAAAAAACAGGAAACAGACACCTGTAAGTAAATAAGTCTTCACTCTGTTTTCAAGACCAGACAAACTGGACATTCCCTAGGGTGGGCTTCCGAACATTCGAAAACCGTTGTCCGTTCTCGAGAAAACCTTGTTTCATTTTTGCATCTATCATACAATTAGAATTCTAAATGCATGTCAAGAAATAGTAACTTTTTTTCCCATGTCCCTCTCTCTTCATTTGTTTTTGAAGGGTAATCTATTTTCATCTATGATTTTTATTAAAAAACTATATCGTTTTCTTTTCTTTTACGATGTCATTTCTTTCTGATTTTAACTTGATTAAGAGAGGCTGATTTTTGTTACTTATGAGAGAGCTGGAATTAAACGTTTTGTGGTGGTTTTGTACTTAGGGTTGACCAAAAGTTCTGATAACATTAAATAAAAATATAAAGATGCAGAGATATGTTTAATTTTATTTTATCAAATGTTCAGGATAGTTGCCATTATTATTTATACCAAGTTCGATCCTTTCTAACAATTTGTTAAAAGTTTTTTTGAAGTCTTTTTCTGAAAAACTTTTAGCTACCGTGGAAACCGCATGAGCTAATCATGTTTCATTTATTTAATCAGTTAAACTACGTTCGATAGAATTAGTTAGCCAAAAATTACATAGTATCAGGCCTGGAGAATATGGTGGCTATGACATTATATTGATGCCTTCTTCTTTCATGTAATTAATAACATTGGATGAGTATAAAGTCAACGATGATCGTCAAGCAATTTTGTACACTTTGAACCTGATGTCTCTGTTTGTTTCCATATTTCATTAACAAAAGGCTTCGGGCAATTTTCAATATAATACTTGTGACCTACAGTCTTGCTTTTATCTACACTCAGGACTATTCGATTTAAAGAATATACCAAACAAAGTTTTGGTTCGAATTTGTCTTCATGAACAATAGCCTTTGACGATTCATCTTTTATAAGCTAGCTAGCATCAGATGACTTATGACTAAGCTATCTAAAATAAATCCATATCTCATCACTAGTACTGCTAGAACGCCACTGGCATGATCTAACAAAATTTCGCTAAATTTTAAAATAAATGAAATATAATTATCTCATGCGGTATCCAAGGTAACTAAAATTTTTTTAGAAAAATAATTGAAAAAAACTTTTAACAAATTGTTAGAAAGGATCGAACTGGAATAAATAATAATGGCAACTATCCTGAACATTTGATAAAATAAAATTAAAAATATCTCTGCATCTTTATATTTTTATTTAATGTTATCAGAACTTTTGGTCAACCCTATGTATGTATAGGCATTTCTTGATTTTTAAAATTTTTTATTAGATGTTGTTGTTGTTTGTCATTATAAAAGGTTGATACTGGTAGAATCATTTAACAATAGACAGAATAGCTGTTATATCTCATTCTTAGATCTTATTCAGGTAAGTGAAACTTTTAGTCTTTCGAATAATCCTTTTTCGTTCAGCTTGAGAGAAAAGGTCTTGCTCATGCTAATATTTTTCAATTTATTTATGTTGCTTCTGCTTACTTTTACTTAGTTACATTCCTCGAGTTATAAGTGAGACTAAACTTTCCTTTTTTTCTTTTTCTCGTTCCAATTCGAGTTATATTCGAACTCAAACTAAACTCTCGCACTCTCATTTATATTCTAATTCTAATTAGACAACTCATGTAATGAACATAAAAAAATAAGATAATTTGCAAATTATTGATCAAACAAAGAATGTTTTCACAGATAATATTACAAATACAAAGAAGACAATTTTGGTAAGTGGAAGTGTTAATAATTTTACTTACTTAGTGGCCGCTATCTTTTCCCCCTGTTTTCATCTACGAAATTCTTGACGATAGCTAAAGAGACCTCATTTTCAAAAGGCTATGGGCTGACAGAAAATGACCTTATTTTTGAACTAGTTCAAATTTTATATCTAGCGAAAAATAACTATAGTACATTTTCCGACAGATGGAGAATAGAACCTTTCTACAAAAGAAGAACATAACTGTTTTATGGATTTCGGGATTTATCCCTATATGAAATGCTTAAAAGGTTTTTGTAAGAGTTCCCGGAGGATCGAAAACCATTTTTGGAGGTTTCCGGGTTTTCCATGTGTTAAGGGTTTTCTACCTCTCTATATGTGCCTTCAAATCATGTCACTTTGTAAAGTCGAGTTACACATACTTCGAGCTTTTTTATTGATGAAATGATGATTTTTCGTTGCGCTATTCAAATTGATTAAAATCTTGATGGCACTATTTGTCAAAAAGATGCCTGTAGTTTATAGAAACATAAAAAACAATGCCGTTATAGTGTTATTTTATAGATAATTTATCTTTATATATCATAATGTGGACAAGGATTTTTTAGAGAACGGAATTAGGGCTGAAAAGAGAACGGTTGCCTATTTATGGTCAAATTTGGACTGATTAGAGAACGGTCAGAATTATGAAACGAAAAAACCGAAAAGAGAACGGAGTTAGTGCTGAAAAGAGAACGGTTCAGAATTCTGAGTTCAAAAGACTGAAAAGAGAACGGTCATATGTTCGAATAGTGAATTATTATCTATATATATATCTTGCATTACCTGCAAAAAAAATATTATACAAAAAAATGCAAATAGATATGATATTTCAAAAAAGTAGAGCAAAACTAGATTTTTTTGGTCCTAAAGGCATACGATCTTTTGAGATTAAAATGATAGCCAAAAGCGATTACAAGTCCAACTGTATGTTTACAAACGTATTCTTTGCAAAAGAATCTGCACGTACAAAAGTTTTGTTGAACCGAAACTATGTGAGCAGATTCATACCATATCTTAAAATGATTGAATGATGAAAATGCATTGCTACCAAAACAATTAATCCACTCGTGGATACTCATTATTAACGGATGTGATGTAGGAACAGCCGTTTCAAAAATATTCCATGGAATTGGAGTTGCATATCTGATAATATCTTGAGACCATTTTAATGTATATTTGTTACCATTGGTACCTGATTCACTTCGAAATCTAGATACTTTATTTTCTGATATTAATTCATTAAGTTCGGTTTCCGTATTACAAATTCGCAGTGGTAGCCAGTGTCTGCCCATGATTTGGTTAGAATATGGTTCTGTTACTGTTTACATATCGATGTGTAAATATGAAGAAGCGTGCGTATGAGAAATTATACTTTAGAACTGTACACATACAGTGAAAAAAATATCTTTCAATGGCGTTCTCTTTTCAGTCTTCTGCAAAAAAATTCGAAAACCGTTCTCTTTTCAGTCCCGTTCTCTAAACGGTGTATATAGGATTAAATCTTGAAATCAGTCCTAGAACGCAAGAAAAACTGCTGAAAAGTGATACTTGAGCGTCTTCTTTGGATGAAAGGTGATCTGAATAGTATTTCTTTGAAAGAGACGAAATAATGAAAATACGCTAAGGAAAGTTCATCTTACCAGGCAAGCTTTTAGATGCGAAAAGTTTTCGACAGGGCACTGAAAAAGAATTTTTTTAAGTTCGAAAAATATTCTAGTTTCAAAGTCAAACAAATATTACATCAAATCGTGGAGTATAAGATTTATCTGAGAGGGGACCGGCTTTAGCTCTTATCGGATAAATAATCAGCAACACTCTTTCCAGATTGTAAGAAATGTAGTCGATAGTCAAATGTTAATCGACTTTTAGCTAATACACTATCAATTTTTTGTGAATTTGATGCTAAGGCCAATTTTTTTAAATCATCAATATGTTCTTTAGATGTAAAATCGTCATCCAGAGTTTGTCTTGCCGATTCATCAAATGCTCCCTAAAATACAAAATAAACACTGTTCAACATCGGTAGGCAATATCAGTAAAAAGTCACTCATAAATGTGAGGCATTATTCCTAAGTATTCTAGAGTAAAAAAGAAAAAGACGGATTTTCGCTGTAAAAATTACGCTTACAAAATCACCACATCATTTAGCTGTATCATCAGTTATTTTTGTCACAGGCCGACCTTTTGGATTATTTGATTTTTTTGTAGGTAATTCAGGACCATTTGGTTGAATTTCTTTCAATGATCGATAACTATGACGCGCTCGGCGAAACTTGCCTTGTAGACAACCAATCCATGAGCTCTATATTAAAAAGAAAAATGGGAAAAACAATGGCTAAAGAAAAATAGGCGCTATATAAATATACTCACAGCTTTCGAATCATCATATGACGCTACTAGATCAGCTAACATTGGATAAGCACGAACAAGCGCATTACCGACTGTTTCATATTGTTTTTTTTGTTAAATATCTACAGCAAATCGAGAATATCGTTAGGTTGTAAAAGAGAGATGCTAAAGGAAATTAAACTTACATCATTTTATATCTCGTTGTTAAATCATCATATAAAGTTTGAACAATTGTAGTTCTAAAATCGGTTTTTAAACGTAATAATTCCTTATTTACGCGTTCACTTTGTAGTACATCATTAACACTTCGTCAGTATAAAGTTGGATCAAAAATGTATTTTCAATATCCCTACTCTTGACTATACTACCATCTCTGTACGAGAACATAAAATCCGTATCTTCATACAATTTGTTTTGTTTCAGACCATGCTTTAACCCGCAGAAAAATTCATTATTTTTTAACATATGAGACAAGATTGACTTAATAGAAACATAGACAAAAGATCCTCCATCAGGTAAAAAAACTTCTACTGGACGTACTAAATTAAATTTCTCGTCGCAGTTTTTCATAAATGTATATTCATTCGGGTTGGTTTCTCTAAACATAGATGTTATAGAACCTAACAAATGCTGAATTTCGGGACTATCTCGTGAAATAGCACATGTTTGTAAAACTGACTCAACAATGCTCTCAACAACGTTTTCTAACGAACTGCTAACTAATTGAGTTGTTCTAGCACTTAACATAGCTTCACCTCTTAATTGTAGCAAAAGATGTAAATAAAGTTTGTTCAAATCTTCTACAGGATACGATTGTTGTACTTCGGTATCACTGTTTTGAGAAGGATTATCCTCGAATGAGACTGCATTTTCTGAACATAAAAAATTATCGTGCGCATCTTCACTCGACTGAAATAATCTCGAAAATTTATTCAACGATGTTTCTGGCTGCTCCGGTCCATGTTTACGTTGTAAATGTTTTCTCCAAGCTTCGTGACTGACTAAGATTTTCCCATCCTCACATTTAGGACATTTAAGTTGAAACACAGGGCTACAGCTATGAATTTGCCTAATGTGTGTACGAAAACCGCTGAAGTTACGTTTTACTTTTGTCTTATCTGATGAACACATTGGACACGTGAATAATAGAATGGACATTTTGTCTTTCTCACACAAAAAAGATTATAACTCACCGATAAATTTTGATGCGAACGATGATAATCCATGCTCATCCAGAAATGCAAGAACATCCGAATTTGACCATGCTTTAACAACTGACATATTGATTCTATATCTAAAACACCAAGAGAAAAAACAACATTTTAATTTAAAATTTTGAACTAGACTGTTATGTTAGAATCAAAAGAAAAACAAAACAAAACAACAGCTTATATTAATTCTTATTAACTTCTTTTTTTTTATTTAAAAAAAACACAAACAACATTATTTCTTCTCATTTATATATTTGCTTAGAGTATGAGCAATTAATGAAGTACCACTTCTATTTGGATGTAAACCATCACGATGTAAATGTTCATGTTTCGTAAATTTAAATTCAATTAAATCAAATTTAATTTTTGAAGATAGTTTAGTATTTAGCAGTTCTAATTTTTTATTAAAAAATTTCACTCGGTTTTCTACGTTTTTTCCTCCGTTGTCACCGTAAGCCCTTCTCCAAACACTGTTTTTGGTACGATAAGGTATTTTAACAAAAGTTAAATGAATGTTTGGATGCCTCTGACATAATAAATGTATAAATTTTCTTACTTTTGTTATAGCCAAATGACAATTTTCTGTTGAAATATTATTTGTGCCAATTACTACAACTAATGACGAATGCAATTCTAAAACATCAATAAATTGTTTAATTGAAAGTAAATTAATCAAATTATTAATTGTACATCCACTAATCGATTCAATTGTAATAGGGATATTCTGTTGAACAGACAGGGATGACACGTCTAAATGATTGAGTAGACTATCTCCTAATATTAGCATTATCTGGAAAAAACTGAAACTAAAATAAGCATATGTTTTTTATGATGCTCTATTGAAATTTAATTAACACAATCCCCTGATACGACAAGAAAAAAGCAGATACACTATTTAGGAATAGCTCCTGAAAAGCGAAATAGTAAATCTCGCCTCATTCTGATGCTGAATTTTACACTTACAAGTTCTAAAAAGATTAACTAATTTTGATTTTTCCCTTACAGCTAAAAATACGACAAAAGAATAATAGACAGGGACTTGTTATCTCCTAGTTTGAATCTCCTTCCCTGTCTTGAGAAATATGTGGCTTTGTTTGCAAAATACCTAACAGAAAATGACTGAGAGAAGAGAACTAAAAGAAACTCTAATCAAACCTGATCATGAATAACATGTGTATAATAATGTATTGAAATAAATAAAAAAAATAGAAACAACAATACATAAACACACACACAAACGATAATGAACGGTGCACTCACAGAACATATCAAAATACACACGTATAATAACAAAACATACAAGTTAGATAAAAGGAAACTGATTGATCGGATTGACAAATACATGGGTTTATATAGGGTGACAGAAAATGTTGAGAAGAATAGAATTGTGTACAATAGAGAGAAAAGCGTTGGATAGAAGAATCGGGAGAAGATATAAATAGTCTAAAATCTACAATGGTCACTGTACATAAAATGAAGAGAACAATGTAAGAGAAAGAAAATACTAAAATAATAATTTACGATCTAGAATAGTCACTGGACAGAAAAATAGAACGACGAAATAACAGTCTATCGTCTGGACAGAAAGAGATATGACTGAACAAACATACATAGAATGAATAAGAAATTGAAAAAGAGTCAAGAAGAGATATGATCGAAAAATGTGACTGACGGTCATTGAGATCATAACAGGACTAGCTCTGACGATATCTGCTGAGAAAACCTGCTCTGCTCTCTGAGTATTGTCTGTTAGTTTGTGATCTCAATCGGAATTTGTGTTGATGTCTCCCATCAGTCATTATCGAATTCATGACCTCCATACGTAAACACACAGTCAATTGGTTAAAATTTGACAAATAACCCACTATATTAGCGCTATTTGTTTTTTCAAAGAACTTAACAGGAGAATGATGTTCTTCATTTTTTCAAAAACTCAATCCTTGAAGAACTCAAACACGCTAAAGAACAACACTAGCCAGAGAACAAAATTTTCGCTGAAAAACAAAAAAAATGTTTTCCTGTTTATCGAAAACTGGTGTGAGTTCTTCAGCCAGTTCTTTAAAGACATGAAAAACGCGTTTTTTTTACTGTGTAGCTCATTCGGTTGAAAAGATACGAACTGTGGTCAATACGCATCAAGGTATATTGAAACAGCATTCATCGTTACTTTTGAAACTACAGGCCGAACAGTTAGTGATCAGCACAGCGTTGAATGATTTTGATATAAATATCAAAATATTAAGAGACGGACTGTTTAGAGCTTTTAAAAAATTACACAGTATTGGTAAAACCTTATCAAGGCACAGTCGTCAAATGATTCGTGATAAAATGGAAAATAGTTTTGTGAAAATGAAATTGTCTTTTGAACGTATTGAGAAGGGAGATTTAAATTTGGACTACATGTCTATTCGAGATCAGCAAAAGCTTGTTAACATCATTGTTAAAACTGTTAAGACACGATTGTCATCTGAGGCTGAAAATATGACTGCATCAGGCTTGGCCAATCGTTTACTAATTGGACAGGAAATACAGTTTATTCGCATTGACGATAGTGACGAAGCAATAAAACATATGGATAATGAAACACTTAAGGAAATAAAAAACTATAATATGTATGCGAATGACTCGTTATTGCCGTATTTACTTGGAAATTTTGTCGTAATTAATTATATTATGATTCCAAAATCCATCACTTCAAATGCAGTGCGCTTGTATAGGTGTGTACATATTTTTATAAACTTTTATTAAAGGTTTATCCTACAAAAACCCATAACGAAAAATTTTTCTTCAGATTAGTAAACATACCACAGTTTCTACCTAATCAGAACAAAGCACAACAAACAAAAAACTTGCCAGAAACATTTGGATTAGCTGCTGATGGAAGCTTTTATGAATTTGGAAGAGAGAATGAACGTAATCACAATAACGAACGTAATAACGGAAACTGTATCCGTGGACCAATTACTTTTTGTAGAGAACATGTGCTAAAACATGACATGATTATTAATAAATGTTTAGCTGAAAAAATAAATAACAATCACAATAATTTCCCAATTCAGAAAGGCAAAACGGCATGTGAAACTGAACAAGTGTTGTTAGATACGCCTTACAGCAGACGTTTAGACAGCAATTTATGGATTTTATCGACGAATAAAGAATTGGACTGCACTAGCTCACAGAAGACACCTGACACTCAAATTCCTTCAAGTGGTGGTGAAGATGCTCGTCGTGTTCATGTGACTGATATGGCTATATTACGAACAAATTGTTTCCAAAAGTTTGATTGTAACGGTTTCACATTTTACAGCGGAAACCACTGTGATGACGTGAAAAAGCTAGGCGTAATAAACCAGCAAGTTTTTTTTGAACATCGTATGGAAATCGCAATACCAACCCTAGGTAAACTTGTACCTTTTAATTCTTCCATATATCGAATAGCAGCGTTAAATGCTGCTCGAGACAAAACACTCAACAATCTGACTGATATTCGCTCACTCTTGGACGATAACAACGTGTTTCTCAGCAATATCGCAACAAAACAATCATTTTTGAAAGTCTATGCCATCATAGTTGCTGTTTCTTCAATAACAATGTTATTCTTTTTTTCTTTAATTTTCTTCATTTACTGTTGGTGTAGAAATAACAAAGCTTTTAAAGTTATACGATACGTTCTGTGCAAAGACGAGTGTCGTTCAGCTGTTAGTGTATAAATAGTAAGAGTTAGATCGATACATCTACTTCTTTACTGCTAGACGGAATGTGCTCTAACCTTTCGTAAAATTGTTTATTCTTTTAGATAATAATAATGTTTGACTAAAGTGTCGGTGTTGTTTCGTTTTTAAAACGCTAGTAATTCCATAGATCGAAACTTAGTCGAACGTTACTATTATGATAACTTAGAACTCATTCCATCTGACGGTAAAAAAGCCGACTTTTTATTTCGACCACAAAAGAAAGATTATGTTGTACACCGACTTTTCATTAAAACTGTCGTACTTTAATGATTTTCTTTCACTTTTCCTATTTTCTTAATTGTCTTTGCTTTATTATTCACTAAAAAGGCAAATAACATGCTTTTTTTTATAGATTTGCAGTTCATTATTAAGATGATTTCTCATCATTTTCTTTTTTTTGACATATTAAATGCTGTAATACTACATCAGCTAAGATACAGGGATAATTTGATATAAAAATAATAAATAGCAGGAAATAAACTGATACATACGACTCTCCAGTTTCATTTCTTAAATTTATTAACCACTTAATATCTAGTTTTCTACCTTTCGCAAGATACAGCCCTTCATTTTTCGAGAAAAAAAGAAAGTAGATATGTATCGTAAACCTTAGAAGTCAAAATATGGTCCTTTAAGCGGATACAAACCAGAGAAAACTACATAACAAAAACAGATAACAACCATTATTCTTACAAATAATCTAACCCTCTGGGTGTGGAACCATTCTTCTACTATAATGCATTTAGTAAACAATTTTTACACTGGTTACAATAGAAATTTAGCCATCCTCCTTAAAAGCCTAGCGCCTTGTCTTTGTTGAAGACATTTACTTTATATTTGCACTAAAAATCACAAAAGTACACAAAATATGGTGAACTACTCACACTGTGTCAAACGTTTTCTAGCCTTGTTTCACACATCCTGCATCTATCCTACTTTTTGCTATAAATCTCTCATAAAAAACTTTACAATCCTACCCCTCCCTGCTTTTTGTTTTTTGCTGTTACGAATCCTGACATTTACAATTGTACTAAGCTTTGTTCCTAAAATTTGCATAAAAGCAAAAAAGAATTTCTTTTCTTTTCTTAATTTTAACATGGAGCATATTGATTGATGTCTTAATCCTTTATCAGTAGGTATTGTCTAGATATCCGTTAGGTAGCAATTATGTTTATCAATCGATCAAACAAATCTGTGTTTATCAAACTATAAAACTTACAGGAAGAAGCTCTTTGAGGTATTGCTACTTCTTCCGTATATATAAAAATGGTACGTGTACATACTAGGGGTGACTCTTTACTTGTTACTCGGTGTTACTTTACCAGTAAAGTAACAAAAATTTCTTACTTGTTCAACGACAGATGCAAATTTGTTACTTTGTTACTAGTAACCACTAACAACTGCGTTTCTTGTTATTAGTAAGAAAGCAACACATGTGTGTTACTTTGTTACTCTTGGTAAAGGAACAAAGAAGAAGTTCTTTTTTAAGCTTTCTTACCAGTAATAAGTAACGCAGTTGTTAGTGGTTACTAGTAACAAGTAACAAATTTGCATCTGTTATTACTAATTACTAATAATAAGTAACAAAATTGTTACTTGTGCTACTAGTAACAGTAATGGTAAACAGCCAGCCCTAGCACATACTCATTTCCAATATTCATTTTTGCGACAAGTAACGACCTCTATAGCCTAGCTATAACGCTATTTTCAAAAATCTTTGGATCTTTCTTCTCAATATGAAATATCCTTTTCAAAAATTGCGAAGTTGCCGATCAAAATTTATGTTTTCAATTAAACGTTTGACCAATGCAAACTTTACTCTTTACTTTCCTTTGCAGGTCCATCTGTCCTGATGTTCAACATAATAAGATACAACGATGACAGCCTACCGTGATTATTCATTGTATCCTATCTTGACCTTAAAGTTTAAGTCTTGTTTAGAATTGGGCAAAGATGCCTATTAAGAGGCATCCTTCCAGTAAGGGTTCTGCGAATCGGAGATGAGCGTTACTTGTAAATATTGTTCGTGTCATCTATCCTAAGAATCATCACTTCATCAGTTCGGATATTCTGGCACAACGAGAAGAACCATTATATAGTCAATCACGTTTTGATTGGTACATTTAATATTCTAGGATTATTTTTCGAGGCACTTTTGGCACTTAAATTTATGTTTTTCATCAATGTATATTCATGACTTGTCCAGGCCTTTTTCTTTTCTTCAGATATATGCTTTCGAAACAGATAACAGTCAACTGTCAAAAAGATCGACTCATGGTAAAAGAAAGTTTATATAACTATCCAGTACTTCTGTCCTAGAATCATTATATAATGACGTAATAGCGAATAAAAAGGTGAATAAAATAAGAATCCGAAAATACATTTGAAACTAGATAAAATCGACTTAGTAAAATATTAAGAAAAGTATAACCAAAGCAGCGGTTTTAATCATTTTGAATTTCCAACGTTTCGATTTATTAAAAAATCATTGTCAAGGATATATACAGAAAAACAGAAGATTTTCTTTTAAA